TCTAAGAAGGCCACCTTAACTACATACACATAAATATACAGGACAGGATAATCCATGGCTGATGACAGAGTGCCCCCTCCCACAGAGCTAGATAAGAATCCCAAGGAAAAAGTGATATTTCATTCTTCGGTCCTTTTTCTTGTTTTCCCCTCTCCCTCCTGCTACAGGCATGCCAATGGAAATTTAATACTGTTCAGAGAAGTTTATTTTGCACCTGAAGTGCTGACTTCGGAACATAATCCCTGTTTACAAGTTTGATATTTAACACTGAGTTCTGAATTATCCGTATAAACACACGGGAAGAGAAGTGGCAGAATAAGGAAATATTGGAACCTCACTCCATTTGCCTTACTTTAGGAGACAGATGTTCACCTTTAGGCACGTCATAAGAGAAACTCAATAGCCTACTAAGTATCCACTAACCAGACAGCTCAGTCCTGATGGAGTACAAAGCAGCGTGGGACGGTTGCTGGAGAACCGCCAAAGTAGTGCACAGCAGAGATGTGCCCACACAAACATAGCAAACGTTCCCTCAAAACTGCAATGAGTTGACTGTATTTTAGACAGAAGTCTATATATATATACACACACCCCAGGAAACACATGTAACCACGCAACTCAGCATCTAATGATCACACTTACTAGGCATGTGTATCCATCAAAATTAGTCATAGATGCCTTAATCATAGGTTAACAAATTTGTCAAAATCTGCATTGATTGGATCCAGAAAAGAGAGCTGAGGTGTTTGGGGGATTTTCAACTAGAAATATCAGCTCCTGCGGAAGAGCCAAGAGCACTCAGCAAAGCTGCATAATGAATGACTGACAGCACCAGAAGTGGCCTCTAGGACCTGCGTCCATAAAATAAAATACAAAGACTCAAAATTTACTTCAAAAGTAATTTTTGTTTAGGGCCTAATAGGACATAAAAGGATTATTCTGTTTCAGTCACTTATTAGATACCAAGAACAAGTTCTACATGAAGTTTTATATACTCTCATTAATAAATGTATCTAGAATAGGGTTTGTGTTCTTAACAAATATTTGCAAAAAAGCTTCCTGTGTTAACTCAGGATTTGTAAAAAGTTGCATCTAAACTGAATTTCAGTTTCCATTAAGATGAAGAGACAGCATTTAAGCTAAAAGCAAAAAAGATAATTTTAAGTATTGTGAAGCACGCTTACAGAACTGTTATCCAACAGATCCAGCTGTTTTTTCTGCAGTAACACAGAGAAGTGTTAAAAGATCATCGTGTGACTAAAGATGCAAACATAAAGCATTTTTCAAATCCAAGTGAGGCTAGGTATTTTTACCCTCCATATACTTACCCCCCTTATTCTAAGAAGCAAATCATTTAAGTACCTCTGAAGAGCTCGTCTCAGTAGTCAGAGAACGAGATCTACTACTGTACTACTGCGTGCAGTGATAGGGAGGATTAGTGCTAAGAAGCAGCGCAGAAAAGGAACAGGAAAGCTCCTAACCTCAAAGATGATATTTTTCATTTGCATCTGATAATTACTCTATCAGTTTAATCAAGGCAGAAAGGTTTACTGTACAAAAGAAACCGCAGTATTAAGGTGAAGAAAAAACTCTATTTACTCTCCGTGAAGACCAAAGAGATTATTAATATTTATGAAGTCTGAACTGGCTTCAAAGAGTTCTTCCTTCATTTTGTTGTGTCATAATAAGAAGCAGCAATAACTCATTAAATTTTCAGGTGGGTTCACTACGCTCAAGTGTAACTGTTTTAATAGATTTTGACCACCTAGGTTAAGGCCTAACTTTTTTTCTTCTTAAATCAATGACAATGATTGTCAGATTAAAAGAGAAGACTTGCATTTGTTCAGAGATTTGAAATATCAAAACCCTTAATTCCTGGCAGCAGAACTCAATGTGATGATCCAAAAGCTGCCTTTAACATCTGTATTTTTGTGCACAGATTTATTTCACAGATTAACTTGTCAACCTGTAATGCCAGGGAGGCGGGCAGGCAGAGAATCTCTTTTGAAAGACCCCGATTAAGCAATACTGTCAAAAGCCTTTCCTCCAATCAAATTCTAGACTTAGCTCAGACTGTGTAATGAAAGTAACACATCAGAGAAAATCATCTTCGCTTCTGTAGCACAGACTCTGCCATGTATATATTATTTAACGGAGAAAAACCTATGTGGGAAAGAAAATGAAACAGTGTCACAGAATAAGGCTAGAAAATTGTGTACTTTTATTTGAGCTTGGCATAGTCAGGTTTGGACAACAGAGCCTAAAATTTAGGCTAGCAGATTTTCTGCATGTAACACTGGAGCCTTCAGGTTAGGATCACAGCTTGGGGAACTTTTTACAGTCAGTATCGCTACTAAGCTTAATAAGTAATGTGGCAACAATAGGGAGGAAGAGACCTGGATGAGCCACTGAGTAGCTACATAGCTTTAACGTAAGCAATTCAGCAAGGTACATGTCGCACAGAATCACAGAACAGTTGAGTTTGGCAGGGACCTCTAGAGATCATCTGCTCAAGAGGGGTCAGCTACAGCAGGTTGCCCAGGACCGTGTCCAGTCGAATTCTGAGTCTCTCCAAGGAAGAGGACTCCGCAACCTCTCTGATTTTGAGTCTCTCCAAGGAAGAAGACTCCGCAACCTCTCTGGGCAACCTGTTCCAGTGTTCGACCACCCACAGAGCGAAGAAGTGTTTTCTGATGTTCAGATGGGATTTCCTGTGCTTTAACTTGCGCCCGTTGCCTCTTGTCCTGTCACTGGGCACCACAGAGAAGAGTCCGGCTCCATCTTCTTTACAACTTCCCATCAGGTATTTACACACACCGAGAGCCCCCCAAGCCTTCTCTTCTCCATGCTAAACCAGCCTGGCTCTCTCGGTCTCTCCTCATATGAGAGATGCTTCAGTTCCTTAATCACGTTTGTGGCCTTTTGCTGACTCACTACAGGAGGTCCATGTCTTTCTCGTAATGGGAAGCCCGAAATCGGGCACAGTACTCTAGGTGTGTAGCCCTCGACTCAAGCATATCGAAATGGCACCTGTACTCTAAATCTGTAAGAAGCACAACAACAGGAAATGCGATCTATAACTTCTTCAAATAAAAAAATATTCGTCATAAAACTCTTACTGGAACCATGTGTTACACAAAACACAGTCTCATATCTTAAAGAAAAGGATGGTGACTTAGAAGCAAACCCAAATGATGATTTTTCAGCAAAGTCATGAGGGGAGGGTCTTTATCTTTCATCACTTCAGAGGTTAAACAGTTAATGTTTCTACTTAGTTATGAAGCCACATTAAAGAGTGAATACTTAAATATCAGAGTGATACTGAAGATACTATATCCCTATATGTATACATATAGTATTATCCACAGACAATGCTTCATATTCCAGAAGTACACCTGAACTTTCACAGCAGCACTAATCAGTTTTCAAGCACTGCAGAAGTTTCCTTACCAAAATAAAATTTTAGGGATTCTTTTTCCTTCCAAGTCTGCTATTTGCAAATAATACTGAATCTCTTCGACAACTGCTATCGCCACAGCCATTCATTCTTACAATGAACTTAAGTCGTTTTCTACAAGCTTTGATAATTCCACGCTGGGAGGAGGTGAAAAGGGTAGGGCCAAAGAACAAACTGTGCCGGCTAGCTGCCATAAATCACACGGAATTTGTTTTCAGCTGGGCAGACTGCACGGCTAAGTGTCAACCCCCTGCTCTTTCCTCCTCAACGCAAAGGGGGGTTTTCCCATTTCTCTGCCGCCGCCGCTCTCTCCTAAACTGGGTTCCACTGAGGAGTGAGGACCGGCTTTTCCCAGCCGGTGCCCTTAATTCCTCCCTCCCCCACGCACACTTACGTCATCAGATCACAGCGATGCTTTCAACCCGGGCAAGCTGACGTGGGTGAGGATATAGGTTAAAGCCTACATTCTGCCTTCACCCAGAACAGAATTTGTATTGCACTGAGTAGTAAAGATACATTCAAATACTAGCAGCCTCTCCCGTACCTTTCGACAATCACTCCCTATTCTGGTATGTGCAGCGGAGACAAGTTCTCAGCAGTTCTGCAGTTAAAAAGAGACAAAAAACAACGCAACAGTCTTACAGTTTAGGTCAGATTAGTCCTACCTGCCGCTGAGCACAGCTATCTGCCAGATGTTACCTGTGGAGCTGGAAACAGGGAGCGGCTGCTCTTCAGTTCCGTCTGGCACCTCAGCCCAAAGTCACTTTTATTAACATACAGAGATGAGCTAACCTATTTGAACCTCCCATATGAAAAATGGGGAAATATAAATCAGACCGTCAGGGATTTTTGCACAACTTGATATCACAACTACATCACCAAATAATTTTAAACTACTAGTTGTAAAGCTAGTTAAATGGAAAAGGGCAATGTCAGCATTAGAAGAATACAAAATAGGATTCAGAAAAAACACTCCCGCTTTGAATGACTAGATCAGCTGCAGAGATGGCATACAAAAGGTTCAAGACCGCACACCCCTTTAGTTCTGAGGAACGAAGCAACTACTTAGCACGCATTAAAAACTAAGGCAGACTACCAACAGATAACCCAAAGCATAGCTAGCCAGGATCCCTACTTTATTAAATATTTCCCCTCCCCACCCAAATCTAAACCACGTCTGGAAACATGAAACCCAAGAACTAATCCATCACCTATTCCACATTCATACAAGCTTAACAATACCGCATCTACTCATTCTAAAACTTTGCAATTGCAGTAACAAAACATGACACGAAAACATGGCCAAAAAGCTGTTACTTTCACCTATGTCACCTGCACTTGATCCCAGTGATGACTACCAGAGACACACACGAAGCCACAATATACACGCATACCTATCAGAGCGACCTTTGCCAAAGGAGTCTTGGCTGACAGCCTGGAGTGTAAAACAGCCATTTACCTAGCAACACAGCTCTGCCACCCTCTCCTCAGTCTCTCTGAGATGAAGTGCTCTAGGAACTGGTGTTTCTCCGCTTCTACCCCTCCAACATTCCTGCGTCTCATTGCTCCACACCAAGACGCATCCAGACAGCGCAGACTTTCAGGAATCATCAAAGCGTGTCCTACAACACGATGCTGATCGCTATTTAGAATGAACCTGTGGCAGCTCCTAATTTAACTAGGCTCACCTAAAGATACAAGAGCAAGATAACATACCTCATACGAGAAGTAACAGTACCAGCTCGCTCTTATTTACAAATAAGCCGACACCTGAACGGACAGCGTGGCTAAGGAGGGCAGGAGGAGGTAAGGAGAGCAGCGGCTCACGCCTCTGGGGGAAGGAGATCCCTGCAAGCAGCTGTAGGAAACACTACAGCGGAAAAAGCCAGCTGCATGGGAACACGAAGAAGAAGGGCCGGCCCGACAGGGGCATTGCACCCTCCACCCCAGAGAGCTCCCTCAAACTACAGCAAGGGACACCAGCCGAGACGAGCTTGTGCTTGCAGAGAAAGACGTGACACCGACCGGACCGCAGCAGGCTCTACAGCCTCCTGCCCGCCCCGCTTCCCCCCGTCCCGGCGCCGGGCTCCCCGG